GGGCTCCCTCTGTAGGGCTGTGGGTTCTCTCTCCGGGTTATTGCATGCCCCCGTGGGGCTGTGGGCTCCCTCTCCGGGTTACTGTGCGCCCCCGTGGGGCTGTGGGCTCCCTCTGTAGGGCTGTGGGTTCTCTCTCCGGGTTATTGCATGCCCCCGTGGGGCTGTGGGCTCCCTCTCCGGGTTACTGTGCGCCCCCGTGGGGCTGTGGGCTCCCTCTGTAGGGCTGTGGGTTCTCTCTCCGGGTTATTGCATGCCCCCGTGGGGCTGTGGGCTCCCTCTCCGGGTTACTGTGCGCCCCCGTGGGGCTGTGGGCTCCCTCTGTAGGGCTGTGGGTTCTCTCTCCGGGTTATTGCATGCCCCCGTGGGGCTGTGGGCTCCCTCTCCGGGTTACTGTGCGCCCCCGTGGGGCTGTGGGGTCCCTCTGTGGGGCTGTGGGTTCTCTCTCCAGGTTATTGCATGCCCCCCTGGGGTTGCCCTTTGGGTTATCGCGTGCCCCCCACGAGGGGTTAGGGGCTAGCCCTCCGTGAGGCTGTGGGGATCTCCTATGGGGCCGCGAGGTCCCCTTTGTGTTGGCTTCTGGTGTTATCCCCTCCTTCTCCCCTCTCTCCCACCCCGGGTTTGTGGGACCTCTGCCACGGGGCTATGAAGTCCCGTCCCATGGGGTTGTGGGGCTCCCTCGTGGGCTATAGGGGTCCCCATCCCCGCGCTGAGCCCCGTGCCTCCCCCAGCAGCCCCTACCGGGCCGGGGCCCGCGTCCAGCCCGTCGACGGCGGGCAGAGCGAGGAGGTCTACGAGCCGGCCACAGGTACGCCGAGGGCGGCCCCCCTGCCTGGGGGCAGCCTAGCTGCAACGCCTGGCTTGGGACCTGTCCTTGCAAGGGTCCCGTGACTGTGGCTTCTCCTTGGTGCCCCCATCAGCGTCTCATTGGTGCCTGAGCGCTTAACGTCTGATACCGTTAGGAAAACGGCTGTGTGTGCGCAGGTCTCCTGAATCTCTTGGCATTTTGGTACTTTTCTCTCTGCAACCCAGGCCTGCCAAATACGTTTTTTTTTTTTTTTTTGGCAGAAAACGGTTGACGTTTTCGGTCAGAGAGTGTCATCTGAGTGTCTGATCCTGGCAAAAGGACCATATTTAAACAAAGAAACATAAGTGACCGCACAGCACGTTAGCGCTTGCCGTTTAAAATTCACGTTGATTTGCGTTTTCTTTTTGTGTTGGAGCTATCTAGGTTTCTGCAGGATCAGTTTAGAGATTGAGACGACTATAAACTCAAGTGGGAAATGGAGGAAATTCCTAACACCAAGGTTAATTAGCAACTAGAACATTACTGCAGAGAACGGCAGATCTTTAAATTCAGACCAGTTGAATGGCAGTATCTCTTCTAGAAACCAACCACAAATCAGTTGGCTTTTGATGGAACTATATTTTGGGAACTATTGGGAACTATAGTGTGAAGCTCTGTAGCCTGTTATGTAGCGATCACACTGAGACCTTTCGATCGTAATGCAAGAATGAGTAAAGGCAGATGAACCTTATTCTTTTGAGCTTTTCTTCTGAGATTTACGTTTTATTTCCTGTTTAAATGTGCTCAGGTCGAGTGATAAGCAAGCTTCTCTGCTCTGGGGAGAAGGAGGTCGATCTGGCTGTGCAGAGCGCAAAGGCTGCCTTTAAAGTATGGAGTCAGATGTCAGGCATGGAGCGGAGCAGGGTGCTGCTGGAGGCTGCCAGAATTATTCAGGTACGTTATGGGAGCTCGCCTCCCCTTTTGGAGAGGGGTGGTTTTGTCTCTGAGCTTTCCCATGGATGAATGTGGCTGCTGCATGGCTGACAGGGGCTGTGCTTCCAGCAGCACTCCCAGAGCTGCAGGACAAATGCAGGGGTTAAAAACCACCTTTGATCAGCACAGACAGTAGGTTGTCTTGGGCAGGGCAGTCAGCTTTATCCTGCCATTCAGAGATAGTTTATTTTATTTTACTGTTACCTGGCCTTTTTTTGTTGTTGTTGTTTTGTTTTCCTGAGGTCCCCTTTCTGAAACAGTGCGTGCTTGAGCTTGAATTTCTGGGCCTACCTGCTTACACTTGTACTACAGATCCATGTTTACTCAATTACTCAATTTAGAAGATATAAAACTGAAGCCATTCAGCCAAGATCTCACAAGGGTCGAAATTCTTTTCACAAACCCAAAGATTAGGCCTGACTGCATGGGATTTCAAAGCTGAAATTGCGTAACTCGGTTGAACTTCTGGCTTCTCAGGCACTGTTTTCATGTGACCAGAGTGTCTTGTTTCAGCAACGAAATCACAGGAATGCTGTATTTTTATGTTAGATGCCAGATAATGGCATGGGAGAAAGAGGAGACGATATGCTAGCTTTGTCACAAACTCCTTTGTGAGTGTGCATATTTTTGGACACCAGAGTTAATCCCCATCAAGGCACAGACCTGTAAGAAACTGGACTTCCTTTCCCCAGTGTGTATGTGATGAGAAAAATGTTTTCTCTTTCTGCCAAATTGCTGTTTCTGCCAGACTTCCACAGCAGGGTGGTATTTCTGCCTCAGAGATGATCTGGTAAAGGACGTTTCCCAGCTGTGTTGCTTTGTCCAGCCTTCACTAAGTCTCCTCCAAATTCATTTTGACATTGCTGTTTGTTATTCCTTCCAGTCCTGTGAACTCTAATCATTATTTACCAGGCTGCTTCTCAATTCCAGTTTGCTGATCTTTTATATAAACAGGGATGTTAAGCAAGACTTAACCAGTGGTGGAACCCAGCAGTTGTCTGTTTGACATTCCCCTGTGATCAGTCACCACTGGCCAATTGATAAATAGCAATTGGGAATGTCACTTGTAGAGAAGACTGGGTGTTACTGATGGCAGAGCCTGGCTTCGGACTTGCATGCTTGGGAGGCAGCTCTCTCCCTGTGGAGTACTACCACGGGCTTTTCTAATATTTTGTCACTGTGCTGTGCTACAGGAGCAGAGGGAAGAAATTGCCACCTTGGAAACCATCAACAATGGGAAATCCATCTTTGAAGCCAGAGTGGACATTGACGTATCTTGGCAGTGCTTGGAGTATTATGCAGGACTGGCAGGATCTCTAGCTGGTGAGAACTCTATTGGAGATTGGTCTGTAGCCTCTGTCCTGCCACCTGCATTCCCTAGCAACTTCCATGGCACAGGAGGATCTTTGCTGTTGGTTTCTCTAAGAGGTGGACTGCTACTTTTCTGAAGATCTCGGAAGGATTTTCAGAGATCTCTGCCTAACACTGTTGTGTTTCGGGGCTGCTTGCGCACCTTTGGTGAACTTGGTGGGGCAAAAGCTGCATGTTTCCGTTCTGGAGTGAGATCTGGCCCCTGAAGCTCTGACAAGACAGCAAGGGGCTTTATTGTTCTCTACCTTCTGGCTATTTTTCTTCTTTGCAGGTGAACACATCCAACTTTCTGGGGGATCCTTTGGATACACAAGGAGAGAGCCACTTGGCGTGTGTGTTGGGATTGGAGCCTGGAATTACCCTTTCCAGATTGCCTGTTGGAAATCTGCCCCAGCCTTGGCGTGTGGTAATGGAGACCCTTTCCCCATGCAAACTTCTCCTTGAAGCCAAGTGATCCTCTGGGGCACAGCGATGCGGGGGATAAAGTTACTGAGTCTAGGAGTGCCTTGAGGAAGTACTGAAGGATTAGAGGAACCTTCAGGCTATTAACTCTTGCAGGAAGGGAAAGGAAATGGAAATGAGAACATAGCAGATACTAAGAGGACAAGGAATGCATCAGGAATAAGGTTGGTTGCTTGGCTTTGTACCAGATGAGGAAGGGTCTCTGGGAAAGTCTGCAGTGCAGCACCAACCACCCAGTATCTCCCGGCTCTTCCCAGCAGGAAGGTGCAGTTGTGCTATTTCAGTGGTTGCAGAGCGTTCAGCTGAAACTGTGTTTCCTGCAGCAATTTGGTTGTTAACCCCGCCTTGCCTCTGTCTGGGTTCCCCTAGGTAATGCTATGGTCTTCAAGCCCTCTCCCTTTACCCCCATTTCGGTGGTGAGGTTGGCAGAGATCTTCACAGAGGCTGGTGTGCCCAAAGGGCTCTTCAACGTGGTGCAGGGCGGAGTGGCCACTGGCCAGTTCCTCTGTCAACATCCAGATGTGGCCAAAATCTCTTTCACTGGTAGTGTGCCAACTGGCACCAAGGTAAGGGCACCTTTGCACTTGGGGACACAAGGGGTTTGTAATGCCAGCCTTCCTTCCTTCACTTGTTCAGCCCCTGACCACAATGAGGCCTTGCTGATCTGCTGAAGGGCTTATCTGTATGGGGGAGGAGGGCACGTATAACCAGAGCAGCATTGTGAACGTATGTGAATATTTCTGGTACTTGTAGTTCAATTGAACTACATACAAAATGCCTTATTTTTAGTAGAAGGTTAGTATCTGTGAATTTGTCACCCACAATTTATTGTTCAAAAAATTAAAAGTCCTTAAAAAGACCCTTAAAAGTAGATTCTGATTTAAAAAAGGGGAAATGTTGCCCCTTGAACTCTTCCTTTTGGTTGCGTGTACCTGTGGAGTGCAGTGACACAGATGCAGTTCCATCTGTCCTGCTGGCTTATGATGAACATGCAGCTTCCTGTAATTGACTCCTTAAGATTTGGCTGTGTTTACTTTTAAAAAAAAAAAAAAAAAAAATCTCCGAGACTGTCCCTAGTCTAGACTAAACAAGTCCAAAAATCCCACTTTGACCTTGGTGCACACTGCTTCTGTTGTTCCTGAAGGCCCCGAAAACGTGAGAACTCTCCCCTTGGGTGCCTCTTACCTCCCTTCGGTCTCCCCTTCTGTCCAGGGGTCACTTGTCCCTTCTGTCCTTATTTCCATTAGATCATGGAGATGGCAGCTAAAGGGATCAAACCAGTCACCCTGGAACTAGGAGGCAAATCGCCCCTCATCATCTTTTCGGATAGCGTCCTGGAGAACGCGGTGAACGGAGCCCTCATGGCCAACTTCCTCACGCAGGGCGAGGTGTGTGTCCATGGGGCAGATGCAGCTGTCCTGCCACAGTGGGGCTGGCTCGGGAAGAAACTGGACAGCAGAGCCATGTTGTCGAATTACATCAGTCTTGTGCAGTGAGGGATGCCTGGAGCTCCCATCTGACTTGCCCTTTATCGTATGCAGTTTCAGAAGGGAACCTCTTGCAGAAGCTGGTTGCAAAAGGGCGTCGTGCTGTGAGCCTGCCTTAGCTAATGCACTGTCTTTTCTCAGAAGCGGAGCTTCCCTCTAGTGCCAGGTACAGGCACCTGCCCAGAGCAGGTGCTCCTGTGCCCTGGGCTGCAGTCCAGAGTGCAGCGGTCAGAAGAGGCTGTGCTAGTTTCCTCTGGAGAGGTGGTAGGTGCCAGTTTGGTGGGCTGAGCTGCAGCCCCCGCAGGGGCTTTGTCTGCCCCAGTTTGGGGATCTCCACATGTGCTGCAAATTTTGTGTAATTTTTCTGGCAAGCTGGGTCATCACTTGTGGGAACTGAGCAGTCAGCTCAAGTTATCTCCTGCTGGTGACTTGATATGCTTTTGCCACTTGGTGGCATCAGTACCACTCAGCATGGACTGCTGAGCGCAGCCATGAGCAGGCAGGGTTGTCTAGTCTTTCATTGCCCCCAGGGACAAGTTGGCTGTGTTAGCTGCTGTGGAGGGGTTTCTCTGAGTGTCTCTGTAGCAGGAGCCTTGCAGGGAAGGATGGCAGAGTTCTGTGCGTGTTATTCTGAGCAGCCTATCCCATGTCTCAGGTATGCTGTAACGGCACGCGGGTGTTCGTGCAGAGGGAAATACTGGATGCCTTCACAGAGGAGGTGGTGAAACGCACCCAGAAAATCAAAGTTGGAGACCCACTCCTGGAGGATACACGGATGGGAGCCCTCATCAACCGGCCGCACCTGGACCGCGTCCAGGGCTTTATCAAGCAGGCAAAGGAGCAGGTGAGTGTGATACTGCCTTGGGACTGCCTGGAAATGTCTGTTTTTGTTGTTAGACTTGCAGACCAGCAGCTGCCTTCCCTGTCCCATGCCTTCCCAATTAAGGTTCGTTCTTGTTGTGATCGAATTTCTTGGTAGGTGTCTTGGGAGCCACTAGATTAAAAGTGACCCAGTGCACATCTCTGAATCAGAGTTGAAGGTGACATTGCTTTTCAGATCCTGATGTTGTGAAGTTATACAGGTTGTGGGATACACGGTACTGCAGTGTGTAAAACAGGAGAATCTATACAGTTTGGCAGGTTGCTTTATGTAAGCTGTTGTGATATGTTACATATTTGGCTGTCATCTCAGGTTCCAGTTTTGTTGGTTGCAGAAACAGCTTAGTAAGGATGAAGGGCATCTAAAGCAGCAATGCCCACCCAAATTGGCAGGCTGCTGGGAACAGTCTTGGTAAGAGCAGTAAGACTTACCCAGTCTTCATTTGCTTTCTTCTCCAACTTTTATTGTAAAGTCTAAAGATGCGTTAAATGTCAGCACTAGCTGTATAACTAGCCATTTTGGAAGATGGGCTGGAAAAGGAGAGGTGTGAGTGAAACTGGGAGGGGGTTAACTAGGATGTGGGACTAGGAAAAGGGATGCAGAGGGAGATGTGGGGAGGGAAAAGAGAAACCTGTCATCCCAAAGCAGTGTATCTGACAGGCAAGGTATTTCTTGCCAAGTAGAGTGCTAAGGGACTGATTGACTCGCTAATGAAGGAGTTCACACTGTGTGAAAATGTGGAAGTTAATGTGATGCCAGCTGAGGATCTGCTTCCAGTTCTAGTTGCTTCCCTCCAAACTATATTGGCCCCTGAGAGACTCACACCCCAAATCAGCATTATTTGGACCTTTAGGATGGGTCACAAGTGAGAGGCTAAATTTGGCCATCATCTCCGAGTGGTAGAGGTTAACTGCAGGCTCTTTATTTAACATGCCAGGCCAGTAAGGGGTCAACAGAGCAGACTTGAGTTACAGCTCTTTTGCCTCTTTAAAAACAGAGCAACTGGTAACCTGTTTGTCTGAGTTCATGGCCCCGCACTGTGCGTTGTGAGTGACTGAGAAGGGCTGCAGGTCCAGGGGCTGCTAGCCATAGCAGCAGTAGCCATGCTCGCTGGTAAAGGAAACAGTAAAGCTCCAGCACAGATCTTGTTGCCTTGCAGTCAGCTGGGGAACTCTGCAGTGTCCCTCTCCTGATTTGGGAGGATTTGGCAAGGAATTGGCTGCGTGCTGGAGGCCCTGCTCTGTTGGTAGTCCTGACCTGGAGGGGCACCAGGGAGGGCTCAGGCACAGTTGGTCTGATACGAATGTAAGTCTAGCAGGGTTTATAGGGCCAGCCGCAGCTGCTGCAGCTGGGCAGGATGCTCCTGGACATGCCTGCCTCTTGCTTGGCTCTTTTTCAGGGGGCAAAGGTGCTGTGTGGTGGGGACCTGTATGTACCGGATGACCCAAAGCTGAAGAACGGCTACTACATGCAACCCTGTGTGTTAGGTATGACCCTGTGCCTGGTGGTGCAGTCTTCTTGGTGGGTGGATAGTGACACCATGTTGCTGAGATCAGTCCCTTCTGGTGAAAGCTGTGTTCAATGTAACTCGTCTCTGTCCATGTCCATGGCCTCGTATAGATGTAGTAGAAATAGCTCAGGTACGTAAGAGACTGCACACAGGGAAATCTCTGCTGTTGGAGGGTCTGACAGGACACAAACAGTTAGTCCCTCCGCTGCCTTGTTATTCAGGATGTGATTTCCTCCTCTGCTAGCCAAGCTGGAGGGGCTGTGCAGTGCCAAGTACTTTTTTGGAGGTTGTGTGCATTGCTCAACATGCTGGCCCAGCCACCAATTCTTCCTCCCGAAGCGTGTGTGCTCTGCTTCCAGGGAACTGCACAGATGACATGACATGTGTGAAGGAAGAGATCTTTGGTCCTGTCATGTCAATCCTGCCATTTGACACGGAGGAGGAGGTTGTGGAGAGAGCCAACAACACCAAATTTGGCCTGGCAGGTGGTGTCTTCACCAGGTATGGCTGGGGAGTGTGGCTGGTGTGGGGAGCAGTCTTGGGAGAGGAAGGGAAGTACTGCAGCAACTTGATGCCCCTTTTGCAGTGTCTGGCATGGGCATGGATATCCGCCTCCAGGAAAGGTGAGGGGGAATGCCAGAAGGGGAATTTGTAAATGACTGCACATCTCCTCCCAGCTTGTCCTCAAGGGTTAGTTGGGCCCAGCTGTCCTTCAGACTCTTTCCAGTCCACACTTGGCCTACCGGCTGCCTTCCTGCATTTCCAGGAGATGTGCGTCAGGAGTCTGCCAAGCTTCTGAAAGTGCGTGGAGAGGGCTATTGGCTGCCTGCCTGCCTGCCCGCCCTAGCCTGTTTTGCTGGTTTCCTAGTTCTGCCCTCTGTATCTGAAATGCTATTTTGAATGTCCTTGGGAATGCCTTTGAGGAGGCAAAGAAAGAGTAGGGCAGGTCTGGCTCCAGAAACCACCTGCTGCTGACCTCATTAAGGGGTCTCATGGCCTTTCTCAAAGGGGGTGGCCAGCAGCCTTGGGAGGAGAGGATGAAAGGGAAGGCTCCAGCTAAACTGTCCTTTCCTGGCAGGGATATCCAGAAAGCTCACAGGGTAGTGGCTGCTCTCAAGGCTGGAATGTGCTTCATTAACAACTACAACATCAGCCCTGTGGAACTGCCTTTCGGAGGATACAAGTCATCAGGTAAGCTCTGGCCCAGGGAAGGTCAAGCAGGCCCCCCTGTGCACAGGGGATGAGGATGTGCCTGTTTCTGTGATGGCAGATGTGAGTGGGCTCTTGCTGGGGCAGCTGGGCGCTCTGCTGTGCCTCTAAGAAATGAACACCGTGCTGGGAGCTCATAGGGAAGCTGCAGTTTCAACTACAGCTCTGTACTGAGAGAGCAAGGAGGCAAGCTTTAATATACATAGCCTTGCTTGCAGCTGAGCTTATCCAGTTATTACTCTGGGGATGATCAGAAATGCTGCCGTGGGGTAGTGCTGCACTGGTACTGAGCGCACGGCCCACGCTCTCCCTGGTATGACTACGTTCTGGTTACAGAGGGTGTGAGTGGTGCTGGGCGCTGTCTGAAGCTGTGCTCTCACTTCTGGCTTGTCCTTGCAGGATTTGGCAGAGAGAATGGGCGGGCAGCCATCGAGTATTACTCGCAGCTGAAGACTGTCTGTGTGGAGATGGGTGATGTGGAATCTGTATTTTAGTGGCTCTGGGGCCTCTCGAGGGAGCATCAGTCGGTTCTTGCCTGTCAACTAGAGATGCAGATCATTTACACAGCAATAAAGCAGCGCTCTAAAATTGTAAGTGCCTCGGGGTGGGGGGCAGAGTTGGAGCCGCATTTTGCCACTCTGATCTTGCAAGGAGGAATGTATACATGGGGCTCAGTCTGTGGGAACCTCAAACTAGGAGGCAGCAGTGTGTCTTTCATCAGTAGCATGTGCTGCTAATAAAGCATTCTGACAGGCTTTTCAAGGGCAGAGACCTAGCCCAGGCTGCTCCCTGTGCTGTGTGCTGTCAACCCCATTGTCCTCCACCCTCAGTCAACTTTGGTTTTGGCATCTTAACAGGTATCACCCTACTCAATGCACATGTAAGCTCTTGGACACATTGACATCCCATAGCTATAGGCCCTGTCTCTTCCCTGATGAGATAAAAGCCTTAAGGGTGGGACTGTTTTGTTTTATCCCCTTAGCCCACTTATGAGCCAAACTTCTGTGTGTTTTTTTTTTTTTTTCTCTACCTGTGTCTCACCTCCAAGGTGAGGCAGGATATAGGGGGGATGGTCAGCTGATGCTTTTTGGGACAGCCGTGGCCACGCAGACTGGCTCCACACACATACTAAGGACAGAGTACAGCAGGAGTGGTAGCAGGCTCTAACATAGGTGATAGATCACTGCCTGTCTTCAGAGACAGCTATTTGACTCCCTTTCTAAAGGCTTATTGTTCTTTATAATCATGATTAAGCAACTTTATACATTTGTCTACATCTTTTTTTAGCAATCAAATAAATATTAATTCTGCTTGAAACATCTCCTTGGAGAATGATGTGAACCAAGGGGCCCAGAAATCTACTCTGACAGAGGGAAGGGCTGTTGTATTGGTTAAGCAAACGGGTTGCAAGATGACTTTTCAGTCACCAGAGTCATGAAAGCTAGATGATCAACTCTGCCTGACAGATTTCTGTGGTCCTACGGAACAGGAGTTGTTCTTGCTTTCTGAAAAACTTCTCAAAATTAAGTCTTCTGTAACTTTAGAAATAACATCTGGAATCGACAACTTCATTTTATTTAATGATAAGGAAGAAAACAGATTCAAAATGAAATGTTTGAAGCAGGGGGAAACTCTTCATTTTCCCAGGCAGTAATTGAGACGCTCAGTTAGTGCTGGTGGACCCAGCCGAGGTGTTGAAAAGCTGAATATACCCCTGTCCCCATCAGTCCAATGAGTGCAGCTGAACTAAAGGCCCCTCTCATCCTTTTTCTAGGATCTAGGAAAAACAAACATGTTTTATCAGTTCAGCAGCAGTATGTAGCTTCTTCACCCAGGCTGCTCCCAGCTCTGCAGGGCGGCAGCAGGGAGGCTTACACCCTTCCCCACACAAGCTTGACTTGTTACAAGTATGTTTAGCTTTGGCTGACCTTGTCCTCACCTTTAAGAAATAAAGGCCAGGAAACCTCTGTGAATGTGACATTTCAGAACCAAGTAAGGTGTGAAGTCAGGTGCCCCCACCCAGCTGGGTTTATTTCAAGTGGTATGGGAAGAAGGGAAATAGTTGAATTCAGCTGAGCCCTTTCCCTTTGGAAATGGAATATATGCTCAATAGTATAAAACACCATGGCTCAAAGATTAGCCCAGCCTGGAAACCAAAGAGGAAGCAAAAACTAGACATTAGTCTTGGAGCACAACAGCAGCTACCTGCTTGTGGCATGTAGCTACTCTCTGTGCTATTGTTAGATTAGTGTTTGTTTTCTGTCAGTAGGACAAGCATAATGCAGAGTGGGCAGTCTGTGAACCTGCAGCATTTTCCCGCACCCTGACTGGAGGAAAGAGACTTGAGGCCACCGTGGGAGACTTCGGTTTCTGAGCACCTTCTGTGCTACTGGTTAAGGACTCACCTCCTGTGTAATAGCCATAGGCATAGAGGATTCTCCCAAGGATCCAGGCAATGCCAAGCCCTGTGGCAATCCGCTAGAGAGAAAGGAGAAGCGTTAAAGGTTTCCGGGGTCTGCAGCTCTCAGCTGTTTGGATAGCATCCCTGCTTCAAGAAGAGACTACCAGCTACAGCGTGGGTCCTTACCCAGCTAGGACAACTGGGAGTTAGCCTGGGAAAGGTGCGCGGCTGATGCTGTGCTAGGTTTTGTTATAGGAGTTATTTCCATGATGCCTGGGGGTACACAGCCTGTGATGCGCTACAGAGCCTTGCTGCTTTGCAGCACAAAACTTCCCTCACTACGATGAGCCTACATGTACTAGTGCATTACAGAGTGGGTTTAGCAGGCTGGGTAACCTTATTCCTACAGCTAGTGGAATTGCACTTGGAGAAACCCTGGTTGTGAATATTTGGTCCTTATCAAGGGACTGTGACATCTAGAAATGATTAAGTCATATAGGCAGCAGGTGCTAAACCTTGTCTGGCCCCTATCTCATTAGCCAAGCTGGACCATGTACCAGGATTTTGGAGGCAGCTCTTGCCTGGAGCCCCACCCCACTGCTGCCAGCAGATTTTCCTACTGCTGATGTTAACGTCACTAGGTTTGCTTATGCTGCTGCTTTCCCTCTCTGAGAAGGAATATTCAGGAAGGATCCGATTTGACTATTGGCAGGAAAGAAAGGCAACTGGTTTCAGCCTGTCCCACACATACACCTCCTTGAGACTTTTCTACATCTTTCACTTACAAATAATCTAGGTTTTTTCTGTCCCATGCTCCCTTTGGTGGTGAAAGTGGTGGGAAGATCATCCTGTTCTCAGCCTATTCCTGGCACAGAAATTTCTTGGAAAAAGTGCTTAGAAGCAGGGGGAAAAAGGGTTCCTACCCTCTACAAATCCAGATGCAGAGTAGCCCTATTGTCTGCCCAGTAGGACCCTGCAGGACTTGGAGCCCGGCAGGGTTGGAGGGACTCGTGGCAGAGGTGGGCTGGGGGACTGCAATAGTTTGTCTAACAAGGCACATTTAGGGGAAGGAAGGGGCGTAATGGCTGGAGCGCTACAAGCATCTGTAATGGGTCTATCTAATATTTGTAATTCCATGCACATGAGCTTCTACCACTGCATTTGCAGAAGGAGCAGGCCACGTCGGGCACAGCCACAAAATGACATGGGGGCTAGTGAAGCAGTCTGCCTCCAGATGTGCTTGCTTGGCCTCCTGCTCCATGTCAGGGGGTGAAGAGCAGAGTTCAGGCCTGCAGACCTGCTGCACAGGTGTCACTTACCGGGTGGTAGACTCCACCAGTGGCCAAGAAGAACAGGAAGGGTGGGTAAACTTCCAATCTGAAAATAAGAGAGGAGGGTATGTTTGTGTCAAAGCTGCTTATAAAGAGATCTCTGCAGAAATGCAGAGAAGTGTAAGCAGCACCTGCTGAGGTCTCTGCCGGGCCTAACTGTTAGGAGTCTCCATGCCCAGCACTGGGGCCAGAGATGGAGGCATGGGGGGATCTCAGTGTGCACAGACTTTAAAGGACCTTTGCACCACTGTCCAAAGGCACCCCCTCTTTCCGCTGTGTATTACACTACTGCTAACTACTGCCTACCACCAGCTAGCCCAAGAGGAGGAGTTCCTTCTAACACACCTGATGTGCTGTTTGCAGCTTAGCCACCTTGTACCTACAGGTGTGTGCTCCCTGGGGAGATCTAGGCAGCAGCTCCCAGACCCAGTGTTGAGGAAACAAGATTTCCAGTGTCTTAAGGGCCACCCAGGGAGCTAAGGAGCCAGGCACTGAGGAAGAGGAGGCTGCTTCACAGTGCTGTGTTATGGTTTAAGGCAGGTAAAGAAGCAGCACTGCCTTGCTACTAAGCATTACACAGCAATGTGTCTTCCTCAGGTGTGGAGCCTGAAACCAAACATTTAGTAGCACTAAGGCCCTCGTTGTGGGCCCCGCTTCACAGTCTTGTGTATTTTCAAGACCTGTGTTCATATGTGGTACTTACGTGTTCTGGTGTGCACGCTGGATGCAGTTGAACATACGCCCATTTTCAGCATCTGTGCTATACATGGTAGGATACTGTCAAAAAAACCCAAAAGCAAAGCATGAGCGAGCGCGGTCCTGCCTCCAGAGCCGGTGCTTCTCTAGCAGTGAGGTACGTACCCTGGAGCACCCTTCTCCAGGGAGCTGGTGCTTTGTCAGCATTGGCAGCGTCCAGCTCCTGCAGGCACCGAAAGTTACAGCCCGCCTTCCCGCCCCATGGCCTACAACAGCTGTGTTGTTGCCTAACCCCCCCCCCCCACCTTGAACCACCTCCCGGCCCTGGGCCCCCTGCCCACCTTTTAACTACTCCT